CCCCGCCCCCCCCCCCCCCCCCCGCGCTCCCTGGCCCTTCCCAGTAGCCCGGCCATGGCAGCCGCCGGGCCCAGTTTCTTGTCCGCTGCCAGAGTCTGCCATCCCCCCCACCCCCCGTCCTCGGGCTACGCTGGGATCTGGGCAGTGTCTCTTTTTCTTTCCCTTTCAGCTGCGCTCTGCTTGAGCTGGGATGGCGAGGCTCCGCGTGGCCAGCACCACGGTTGCAGTGTTGCTGGTGATCCAGACTGGGTTCCTGCTCTTCATGTACACTCAGCACAGCGGCTTCATGGCCCCCTCCGAGGAGAAGCCGGCCCAGACGCACATCCTCATCCTCTCCTCTTGGCGGTCAGGGTCTTCCTTTGTGGGCCAGCTTTTCAGCCAGCATCCGGACGTCTTCTACCTGATGGAGCCAGCCTGGCACGTGTGGGTGGCCATGTACCAAAACAGCGCCAAGGTGTTGCACATGGCGGTGCGAGACCTCGTCCGGTCTGTCTTCAAGTGCGACATGTCCGTCTTTGATGCCTACATGCCTTGGAAGAGAAACTTGTCTGATCTCTTCCAGTGGGCGGTGAGCCGGGCCCTGTGCACGGATCCTGCCTGTGAGTCCTTCCAGCGCACTGATATCACCAGCGAGAGTGCCTGCAAGACCCTCTGTGGCAGGTACCCCTTCAGCAAGGTGGAAGAGGCCTGCCGCACCTACAGCCACGTGGTCCTAAAGGAGGTCCGCTTCTTTGATCTGAGAGTGCTGTATCCTCTGCTCAGCGACCCTTCCTTGAACCTCAAAATCATCCACTTGGTTCGTGATCCCAGGGCAGTTGTGAAGTCCCGTGAACAGTCGGTCAAAGCCCTTGCCCGGGACAATGGGATTGTTCTGAGCACAAACGGCACTAAAGTGGAAGACACCCAGTACAAAGTTCTGCAGGAAATCTGTAGGAGCCACGTTCAGATCTATGAAACAGCCTCTCTGAAACCTCCAAGCTTTCTCAAAGATCGTTACTTGTTAATCCGATTTGAAGATCTTGTAAGGGATCCCTTACCAGAAATTACAGCAATGTATAAATTTGCAAATCTTCGGTTGAGCCCCAAGCTTGAGAGCTGGATATATAACATAACGCACGGACAAGGACCGAGTAAAAAGAAAGAAGCCTTCCAAATCACCTCTCGAGATGCAGTCAACGTTTCCCAGGCCTGGAGGAATGTTCTTTCCTTCGAGAAGGTCCAAAGAGTGCAGGAAGTTTGCAAAGGGGCTATAAATATCCTTGGTTACCAGGCTGTGGATTCTGAGAGAGAGCAGAAAGACTTGTCATTGGATTTAGTGTTGCCACATCGAAGAAGCCAATTCAGTTGGGCATCATTTAGTCAAAACTAAGTGAAACATTGCAGCGTCTGAATCCTGTTGTTCACTTCTAAGCTGAGGGGGAGAAATTTTATTTTGAGGAATCCAGTTTTTGAAGCGGTTGCTCCTATTTCCCATTTTCCTGACCTGGAACACGTGGAACCAAGGGACAGTGCCCAGTTTGCAGACATAACAGCTTAGACCAGTTGTTCTGTAATAAATGTATTGCTTTCAGAAATGAAGGATTGTGCTATAGCTACCAGCCTGCTCCCTTAACACCAGTAGTGCCTATAAGATATAGCAATGCCACTTTATTCAACATCATCACTCAGTATAAGGTAATTTTCCTTCTCTTGTGGGAAGAAAGTCAAGGAAATCATTGTGGTATTTTGTGGCCTTTCTTCCCCCAAGGTGTTTCTCGAATGAATTTTTTAGAAATTATTTTTAGTGTCTTAATGTTATCATAAGGAAAGTTTATGAGGGAGCACGTAAAAGTCAGAGGCTGAACCAAGCCTCACAGCCATGCCACCCTTGGCTCCTTTTGACTGTCTGCCGGCTGGATAGATGGCTACTGATGCAAACGTGTTCATGGTGAAAGTGCAAAAGAGTGCCTTGTTGCTGTTAAAACTTACTGTTTGTCTGCTACTGTATATATACTGGGGGTAGACCTTGGGTTCGTACCTAGAATCAGGTAGAGTATTGCGATCTGGGGGAGAGAGTAGGTGGAGGGAGAAACAGTATCTCAGCCTATGGTGGTTTCCACAGGTGGACTAGCTTATGTGGTTTTCCCAGTGCTGGTGTGGCTGCCAATGCAGTACAGCAGTGGTGGGGCCGGTTTCCATGGGGCAGGTTTTCTCATTGCCCCAGTCCCCCATCAGTAACCATCCCCCTCTCCAGTTTGGTGTCGTGGTTAAGTGCGCGGACTCTAATCTGGGAGAACTGGGTTTGATTCCCCACTCCTCCACTTGCACCTGCTGGATGACCTTGGTTCTGGCACAGCTGTTCTTGAAAAAGAGCAGTTTCTGTCAGAGCTCTCTCAGCCCCGCCTACCTCACAGGGTGTCTCTTGTGGGGAGGGGAAGGGAAAGGAGTTTGTAAGCCATTCTGAGACTCCAAGTAAATGGCGGAGTATAAATCCAATCTCTTCTTCTCTTCTTTTTCTCCAAGGCCACTGGCACTTTAATTTTTTTTTTTAAATCATAATACTGATATAATACAATGCTAGTATGTGTAACAGGTTCCCTGATTTCCCAACTTCCCAAAAGTAAGCTTTTGTTGTGGAGAGATGCTTTTCTCCTTATAGCTCTCCATGGGGAGGGGCGAGATCCTTACTCTTTTTAATGGATGCTGTTCCCCAAGCAGTAAAGCCCCTGAAGCTGGGGAGGGAGTCACCACCATGGGCACATGGTCAAAGGGAATGGCCGCTGGGGAGGAGAAAAGCTTCCTATCCTCCTAGCAGCCATCTGGCCTTTATTGCAACCTGGAGAGCGACTGCAGAAAAGCTGGGAACATCCCGGGAGATGCAAGAATAGCATGGTGGGGAAGCAGGCAAAACCCACTTCCCAAGAGCACTGAAATGGGGGCAGATGTGTGGGTGTGGAAGCAGCCTAAGTGTATCAGCGAGTACCCTTTCCTAAAATGTTGTGTGTTCTCCCCTCTGAGAGGATCCGAAGAACAGGTTGCTGTGTGGGGAAGGTAAATACAGGGAAGGAGGCAAAGACTTTACATTACAACCATGGAAACCTTTTTCAGCTGAGCATCCCTCCATCCCTCCAAAGAATTCTGTCCTGCTGCAGTGAAGGAGAAAGATACTGCGCTTGGCGGACGCTTCCTTCTCCTGTCACTGCAGCCTCTTGCTTGTAGCTTCCCTTCAGTTAGTCCAGAGTGGGGGGTTAGCACTTCAAAAATTATTATTTTAATTCCATATCAGAAAGTTGGCAAGGGCACGATTGTCGTTTTCATGAGCTAGTGAGTGTGCTAGTGTTCTGGACCATTCCATTTTAATGAAAATAATAATTATGCCCTCTCTGAAGTAAAAAGAAATTAAAACAATAGATTTTAGGGGGGGAAACCCTGCCGCTGTGGCAGCAGGAGTGGGAGGGAGGGAGACAGACAGAAAGTCTGCCCCCAGCTGGTCCGTGGGCAACAAGAGGTTAGGGTTTTTTCTCCATAGGACATGATGGTGGACCACCTGAAGGCAGGCTTCCTCCTCCATAGCTGCTCCTGCTTCCCTGGTGCAATTCCAGATTTTGATATCATTGCAAATGGAAATATCAGAACTGGGTGGGCACATTGGAGGGGGACTTTTGCACGATCAGCTACTGCTGATCCAAGACTGGAAATATCAGGTGTTTCATTGGATCCGCAATGTCTGATTACTCATCCCTAATTCCAGAGTTCCAGCTGGAAGAAGACTTCAGTTGCAGGAAACAGTAAAAAGTGTTTGTGGGGGCAGAAGAATTCTTTAATAAGATGACCTGCTGGGAGTCAGTCTACCCTTCCACGTGGCCAGCTGTATTAATCTGCACTAGCAGAACAGTACAGGAATCCAGTGGCACTTTTAAAGACCTTAAGAAACAGTTCATTGCAGCGTGAGCGTTCAGGAGTCAGAGGTCACTTCTTCAGATACTTAAAATGTCCACTCATTAGGCTGATACAATTATGCTAAAAGCTGCAAACAACAGAGAGGTGGCGTGCAGAGGGAAGAGATGTTGCAACATTCTAGTCTTCGGTGGAATCTTGATTGTCTCCCTTCCTGTGTCTGAACTTCGATTTTTCACTCACGATAGATGCTAAACAGCCTATCCCACCTGTTACGGATGTTAATTAGTACAGCTATACCCTACACTTTAATAATTATTCCAGGTTATTGTGCCTAACCCTACACATTCCTTAGTTAGAACTGATTTACCATTACTCTTACTTTGCTTGTCTGTCAAGTATTGGAAATGCTCCTCACCCACTCTATGTGGTGTGACTATTCTCTTGACTGGACATTGTTTCAAATGGGCCTTTCTCTGTAATGTTTCCCCCTCTTTTGCTCTTTGCTCTTCAGTTCCTTGCAGTTAACATAAATGAATTTGCATACTGAATGAACACTGCCAGCACTTGATGAAGCTAGACTGCCAAAAGCGCAAGCTGCAGTAAATGCTGTTAATCTTTAAGGTGCAGTTGTTTTTCTGCTGTATTGAGCTGTACCCTTTAAATATGCTTTTCACCACCACTGTGCTTTGAAAGCCATGTCTTGTAATCCTAGAATTGCGGCGACCAATAAGATAAAAAGAACATAAAAACAAATATAAAACATTAACATTAAAATATGTGGCCGCCAATAAAAACAGTCCAAACATGGGGTTACCCTCCAAAGTAAAAAGCGTGCCCTGTGGGAACCCAACAAGTCCAGCAGGGCCCAGGTGTCACCTGAGAGTGCGTCCCACAGGGTGGGGGCCACAGCTGAGGAGTCCCTTCCCCTGGTGACAGCCAACCGAGCCATCCTGGGGCCAGGCCCCTGCAGGAAGCCCCTGCAGCCCTGGTGGCGAACCTAGGGTACGTGTGCCGGAGGTGGCAGAGCCCCCTCTGCGGGCATGCACGCCGTCACCCCAGCTGCCCGGGCGGCCCCGATTGGGCAGTTTGAATGGAGGGTGGGGGCCACGCAAGGCAGATGACGAGCCAGCAGGGGAAGAGAAGCCGGCTGCACCCCGTGACTCCCCTTCTCCTCCGAGGTGGCTGACCGCGACGAGCAGCACCAGCAGCAGCCTGCAGGAGGGAGCGGCTGCCCGAGTGAGTGCGCCTCTCTGTGCCCCACTCCTCCAAGCCTGCAAGCAAGTGTCCCTCTCCTCCTCCTCCGCCCCGTCCTCCGCCAGTGTCAGCATCGTCATCTTCATCCCTGGGAGGGTGGGGTGGGCAGCCGGCCTCTGCCACCTTCCCGCTGCTGCTCCCCTCCCTCCGTCCAGCACGCAGAACTTGAGGTCGGGGCGAGAGCAGCTCCTCAGGGTGGGTGAAGACACGGGTGTGGGCGTCGTGGGAGTGGCAGGAGGTCTTTGGGCTTGGAGGGGGGGTCGGGGGGGCTTGCCATCGCCTCTGGTCTGCTGCTTGTTCCTGACTGCTGGCACGACCAGGTGGGCACCTGTTCTGATTCTTTCTCCTGGTTTTTCTGCCGGGGAAGGGGTGCCTTGGCGGGGGGAGGCAGGCTGATGGCATCCTGATGGGGGCTGCTGTCTGCCCTTGGCTGGGTTTGTACTAAAAGGAAGGACAGGATTGCCCATTGGACAATCCTGTACATTACAGTACAAGTAGAGTTGCAATAAAAACGTGGAATGGATTTTCCATTAGAGTCTCTGGGCCCAAATAGACTACTCTGGGAATTGAATGAGAGACCACGGAGTGGAATGAGATGGAGCTGATCTGGTGATAGCTATACACATTCCAGTAATATTTAAATGTAAAGTATTTCACTCTACAGTTTGCAGATCCAGTTGCACAGAACTTTCTCTATACACAGGGTCTCTCCTTCTACTCTGGGGCCTGTTATTCCAGGCCCATAAGCCTCCTGCTACTTCCAGGGACTGTCAATCCACCTTGGAGCCTGTTATTCCATTCCCAGAATACTCCCAGGAGCTGTCATTCCACTTAGTGGCATCCCATTCCAGTTCCAGAACACTCCTGACATATCTAGGGTCTGTCATTCGGGCTTGTCATTGCGGTCCCAGAATATCCCTGCTACTTGCAGTGACTATAATTCCACTTAGTGATCTCCCATTCCAGTTCCAGAACACTCCTACCACTCCCTAGGGCAGTCATTCCAGTCCAAGACCACTCCTGAAACTTCCAGGGGCTGTCATTCCACTCTGAGGCCTCTTGTCCCAGTTCCAGAACACTCCTGCTACACCCTGGGGCTGTCATTCCACTCCTTGGTCTCTCATTCAAGTCCCAGAACACTCCTGCTCCACCTGGGACTGTCGTTCCACTCCATGGTCTCTCATTCCAGTCCCTGAACACTCCTGCTCCACCCTGGGGCTATCATTCCACTCCATGGTCTCTCATTCCTGTCCCTGAACCCTCCTGCTCCACTCTGGGGCTGTCATTCCACTCCGTGGTCTCTCATTCCAGTGCCTGAACACTCCTACTCCACCCTGCGGCTGTCATTCCACTCCTGGGCCTGTCATTGGAGTTCCAGGACACTCCTGCTCCACCCAGGGGCTGTCATTCATCTCCGTGGTCTCTCATTCAAGTCCTAGAACAGTCCTGCTCCACCTGGGGTTGTTATTCCACTCTGGGGCCTGTCATTCCAGTCCCTGAACACTCCTGCTCCACCCTGGGGCTATCATTCCACTCCATGGTCTCTCATTCCTGTCCCTGAACCCTCCTGCTCCACTCTGGGGCTGTCATTCCACTCCGTGGTCTCTCATTCCAGTGCCTGAACACTCCTACTCCACCCTGCGGCTGTCATTCCACTCCTGGGCCTGTCATTGGAGTTCCAGGACACTCCTGCTCCACCCAGGGGCTGTCATTCATCTCCGTGGTCTCTCATTCAAGTCCTAGAACAGTCCTGCTCCACCTGGGGTTGTTATTCCACTCTGGGGCCTGTCATTCCAGTCCCTGAACACTCCTGCTCCACTCGGGGCTGTCATTCCACTTCAAGGGCCCCTCATTCCAGTTCCAGAACACTCCTGCTACCCCCATGGGCTGTCATTCCACTCCCTGGCCTCTCATTCCAGTTCCTGAACACTCTTGCTCCATCCTGGGGCTGTCATTCAACTCCGTGGTCTCTCATTACAGTCACTGAGCACTCCTGGTACACCCTGGGGCTGTCATTCTACTCTGGGACCTGTCATCCCAGTCCCAGAACAGTCCTGCTCCACCTGGGGCTGTCATTCCACTCTGTGGTCTCTCATTCCATTCCCAGAGACCCGAATGGAAAATCCAGTTGTTTCC